GGCTTTGTGAGATGAATGTGGGTGATAGAGGTCTGGCCAGCTTGTGGTAACATGCATGGGGTTGACCTCCTCTGACTTTCTTAATGGTGACCAGGGAGCCATAGAGGACCTGCTGCATGGAGGGGTCAAACCCTCGTGAGCACTCTGGATATCTATGACTTGTTCAGAGTCCCTGCAGGGGTTGGCAAGATAAATTTATTTGTAAATTCCCTATAGAGAGAGGCAGGAATTGTGACAGATGCCCCACTTTTCCCACCCTGTTTGATATTACTCTCCAGCCAGGTGAGTGATTGAAATCGTGCATCAAGCAATTTAATGATGGTCTGCTTTGGGGTCTGTGCACCAGAATGATAACTGTGAGTGTTGCGTTGTCATGAGCAGGCCAGAAAGGTCAGAGCCACATGTTGTACAGGCTGAGATCCTGTCAGAAGGAAAGGGAATCACCACCTGTCCTGCAAATGAGACCCAGCATGGTGGGGATGGTCGAACACTGGACAGCAGAGCAAGAAACCTGGGTTCTAACTTGGCCTCTGCATATTAACTAGTTCTGTGACATGTGTACGTCAGTTAACTCTTACAGGCCCCCGTTCCTTCATCTACAGACTGGCAATGCCTCTACAAGTGTTAATGTCCTTTAAACATTCCACAGACTCTAATTCAGATTTGAACTATAAGGAATCACAAGTAACATTTTCTCAAGAATTATAATTATTTAGTACCTTATAGCCTTCATATCTTTTTTCATCTTTTATCTACAATTTTTTCTAATTTAATTTCCCCTGAATCTAATTTTTATCTTACTCTAATTCAAATTTTAACTATAAGGAATCACAAGTAACATTTTCTCAAGAATTATAATTATTTAGTACCTTATAGCCTTCATATATTTTTTCATCTTTTATCTACAATTTTTTCTAATTTAATTTCCCCTGAATCTAATTTTTATCTTTAAACATATATTTTTATTTTTGTATTGCAAGCATTTGTCATAGAATTTTTAAAAAATATTTTGCCTTTTTAAAAAGAGTATGTAAGGTGGATATAAGTTACTCTGATAGCTGACTTCCCGGTGTGTTATCTTAATCACTATGCAAGCTAATATTTGTGGCGTACTTCTGATTTTCCTGGCAGTGTACTAGGTGCTTTGATGGATTACTTTAATTCTCATAACAATAACCCCTAGAAAGGTATAGTTATCATATGCAGGTTTTTTTTTCTTTTTTTTCATGCAGAAACTAAGGCCTAGAGTAGTGGAGTCACTTGTCAAAGACCACACAGACTTGTTAAGAGAGAAGACAGGGAAGCTTGACAATGCCTATCAGTGGATAGTGAGCATGGGGACCAGGAGAAGTAGTTCAATTGCCCAGATTTCCACTTTTGGACAGAATAACTAATTTAGGACCACACTTTAGATCTCTCAGCTCCAACTCTTGTGGGGCTTTACCTTTTCTGCTTTTTGTTTTTCCCCTGATAGGAGCAGCACCAAAGGAGATATGGAAAACATTGTTCGTTGAATTATATTTGAAATATAAAAGGCTTTTTGAAAAAAGTCCTCTTAAATCCTATGATTATGATTACAGTGACAGAAAAGATGTAAAATAATAACTTAATATAAAGCTTTTTTATCAGCATTGTGTGCTGTTTTTCCCTCCATGAGATTGCAGGTTTCAGAAATAAGGAAGACTTTTATCTTTAATTTATTCTCTTACAAAGTATGCAGTGGATATTCACATAGATGGAAGCTTTGTTCTCTATTGTCGGGGATATGGAGGGTTCTATTTTTATTTACATTTAGGTGAAGCAAGAGAAAACCTGCTACAAATAGATATACAGGCAATTACATTGTTTTGTGTTGTAGTGTGAAACTATTATAGATGGTCTTTAAATTTTTTTGATTTTATTGATGCATTTTATGCAACAAATAGTCCCAATGAACAATTATTTTTAGAATAAATAAGGTAATATTTATATCGAAATAACTCCTCCTTGGGTTTGACAAGTTTTCACAATGTAATGCTAAGACGCCATTGCCAAAATTGATTTTTAACAGATTATATTACTTTTGTAAGCTCTCTTATTATCTGTTGAGATCAAACATGTAGCTGACAGTTGTGATAGAAAAGTTTGCCTCATGGGCATTGTTCTTGGCACATAGCATGCATTCATTTGCAGCAGTAGATGTATCACATAGCCTCTCTGTTCCAGAACTGTGCTTGGCTGGGACATGGAAAAGCCAATGTCCTGCTTTCATAGGAACTTCTGGTCTGGTGGACAGGAGAAACATTCAATGGCTTGTGGTAATAAATTTTACTTGCAGCTGTGCCTTATGGTGTATCCGTAGCTTATGTCTGAAAATAGCAATTCCACCTGTCTCTAGTTGCTACATTCCAGTCTGTGGTGTTTGGTGCTTTTATTGGCTGAAAAGACTGCAATAATATCACATCTGTAGTTTGTTTTATTAATTCTAAAATCATCCATACCTACAAAATCTCAAAAGGCAAATAGAAATTAATTTGAAATTTTGGGGGTTTTGTGAAATTTATGTTCGGTTAAGAGTTTTGAGTGGGAATAATGAATAAGGGGTAGGAACTTAAATTAAAAACCCTGATTATCAGTGAAAGAGGAAGGTAAACATCTCTTTAAAATACAAAATGCTAAAATAAAATTTGCTACAACAGTATACAGCCTGCACACTATAAAATTGTTTTGATTTTTCACATTTCACTGAATTACAGTAATTTGTAAACGACTGCAGAAAAAACATTTTTCCTCTCTCTGATAGTGTAACTTACTTGTCATTGTCAGTAAACATTTATCACATGCCTGCTGTGTGCTAGGCAGTGGGGTTATATCAGCAAGCAAAATAAAGCTCTTGTGAAGCTTCAATTTGCAATTATTTTTTTGGAGGGGGGACAAAATAAACAGTTAAATATTTACAATGTCAGGTGTTCATAAGTGCCAATGGAGAAAATAAAACAGGGTAGGAAATAGAGAACAACAGAGTATGTACGTGGAAGAGAGATGCTCCCTTCTATAGGGATGTTCAAGAAGGCATCTCTGATGAAGTGACATAAATGCTTTTGTTCATCTGGATCTCTCCTAGGCTCTCTCTGCCCCTTGCCAAAGTCACCTTATTTCTGCGTGCTTTGTTGATATAGCTCCTGAACTTCCTTCTCTGCCTGGATTCCCTGTCGTGTTATTACTCTTGGACCTATTGTTAGAGCTTGTTTCCACAAATCCTCTATTGTTGCCTAATATTTTTCACCTAATAACTTAATCTCAGGTATTTCAGGCTTTGGTGACTTACTTGGTGTCTAAACTAGCTCTTTGAGTTTCAAGTTAATTAATTGGGTTTATCATTAATAGCATACTGGCATCTCCAACGTTAGAACTGAGTTGTATTTACAAATACTTACCTTTCAGTCTTTTAGAACCAGCTCTTCAAAGTTAGAGTTTTGAAAAGAGGAAGACAAATTCTGATCTGAAATTTTTCTTTCCTATACTCAACCATCACTCAGTGTAGACATAGCCTTTTATGTATGGAATAATTTCCTATTTTCCTCTAACAAGATCTAATTGGCCTCAGACTCCTTAAGTCTCATTCTAATGTAGCCCAGCAGCAACCTCATGATGAGAGAATGTTCCAGAAGAAATAGCATCAACTTCTTGTAGAGTATTACATTATGTTGGCAGCAATGGCTTAAGTCTGATATTCTCATGTTTACTCCTTGACTTTGAGGCAAGAATGAGAAATACTATTTATGTTATTTATACTATAATATTGTGACTTTTAAGTCAGAAGTAGCTAGGGATATGAAGAAATGATAAAATATTTTTATCCTGAACAAAAAAAGCAATCTGGGGTTTTATTCTCTGATTGATTCAAAAGAGTAGAAAGCAGATATTCCTAGATAGTCAACATGCAGTATGGTAGGTTAAAAAATCAATTTTAGAAAATTAAGCTGAATAAGTACCATTCTTTTTGTGTTTGGAATGAAGTTGCCCCATGCTAGTAAAGAAATAACAAAGGAAACAAAAGCTTTTAAACATTGCTGTGATGGATAGGTTAAAAAATCAATTTTAGAAAATTAAGCTGAATAAGTACCATTCTTTTTGTGTTTGGAATGAAATTGCCCCATGCTAGTAAAGAAATAACAAAGGAAACAAAAGCTTTTAAACATTGCTGTGATGGGGGAGAAATTCTATTTCTATTTATAACTTGTACAGAGTCCCACATAAAAATAGCTCCAACTAACAGATTTGCTCATATCTGGAGTACAAAGTTGTTGCTGCCAGTGATTTGAGGAATTCTAATAAGAGGAACGACAGCATTGGTAAATATTGAAAGTTTATCATCTTTTCTTTTACCCCAGTTTTCATATGTGGAGAAAATTACGGTTCGTAGAAAGTTCTAGATGCTGTATTTTATAGCTTGTTATTTTCTAGGCTCTTGTCTCTTCGGTTTTAATGAAAATGAAGTATTTTCACCCTTCAATTCCATGCCATGAGGTGGATGTATTATCGATAATTGTATCACACTCTGAAAATATTTGTCAGGCCAAAAGATTTAATATTTCCTTCTTATGAAGACTAATGTCGTGTGATTGGTGTGACAACAAAAATATTAAGAACCACGGAAGTTAATGAAAACCATTCTTTTTGTCTCATTTTCAGCGGAGCTTCTTGGGCCATGCCAGTTTTAAGGTGGGGGAACTACTGAAGTCAAAGGAGCAACTGCTGGCCCTGAGCCTGAGGTGGGTCTCTGTTTGCAGAAATACTGTTAAAGTTAATTACCCATGATACTTATCGATGGCCAGTTGTGCTTGAAAGTCACAATTCTTGCAGATGTTAGATGTCAGCTCTCAAATGTCTTATGTTCTCCACTGCAAGGAGTTATAGAGAAATAGCAATTATTCAAATTCACATTCAAGTTCATGTTTCAGGTTGTGAAAGGTTATTAGTCCTGGTAGGAAAAACAATATTACGTTATTATTAAAGTGATGAAATTCTTTGAAAGTAAGAAGGTAAACATAAACTATGATCATGTTATTAAGTATTTTTTGTTATTTATCAAAATGTTACTTTTTAAATCAAGTAAATTTCTAGATTTAGAATACATTAGAGACAACGTTGCAGCTTTCTGATAATAGAAAGCTGCATAATAAAAATTTTCTGATCGTAGTAAGCTGATTTTTTTTAGCTTATTTTGTTACTGCTATTAAACATAAAACATAAGTTAAAACAGACTCATTGAAACAGACAATATATCATAGCTAATTCTGAATATGGGTAGTGCAATTTGTTTTGATATAGAAGATGAGACAACAGTCTTTTGAAAGTTGCAGAGTATTTTAATACTAAGAAGAATATTAAATAAGATAAACATTTTTTAAAAATTCATAATAAATCTGGAAACAATAGTCTGNGTTCCTTCATCTACAGACTGGCAATGCCTCTACAAGTGTTAATGTCCTTTAAACATTCCACATACTCTAATTCAAATTTTAACTATAAGGAATCACAAGTAACATTTTCTCAAGAATTATAATTATTTAGTACCTTATAGCCTTCATATCTTTTTTCATCTTTTATCTACAATTTTTTCTAATTTAATTTCCCCTGAATCTAATTTTTATCTTTAAACATATATTTTTATTTTTGTATTGCAAGCATTTGTCATAGAATTTTTAAAAAATATTTTGCCTTTTTAAAAAGAGTATGTAAGGTGGATATAAGTTACTCTGATAGCTGACTTCCCGGTGTGTTATCTTAATCACTATGCAAGCTAATATTTGTGGCGTACTTCCGATTTTCCTGGCAGTGTACTAGGTGCTTTGGTGGATTACTTTAATTCTCATAACAATAACCCCTAGAAAGGTATAGTTATCATATGCAGGTTTTTTTTTCTTTTTTTTCATGCAGAAACTAAGGCCTAGAGTAGTGGAGTCACTTGTCAAAGACCACACAGACTTGTTAAGAGAGAAGACAGGGAAGCTTGACAATGCCTATCAGTGGATAGTGAGCATGGGGACCAGGAGAAGTAGTTCAATTGCCCAGATTTCCACTTTTGGACAGAATAACTAATTTAGGACCACACTTTAGATCTCTCAGCTCCAACTCTTGTGGGGCTTTACCTTTTCTGCTTTTTGTTTTTCCCCTGATAGGAGCAGCACCAAAGGAGATATGGAAAACATTGTTCGTTGAATTATATTTGAAATATAAAAGGCTTTTTGAAAAAAGTCCTCTTAAATCCTATGATTATGATTACAGTGACAGAAAAGATGTAAAATAATAACTTAATATAAAGCTTTTTTATCAGCATTGTGTGCTGTTTTTCCCTCCATGAGATTGCAGGTTTCAGAAATAAGGAAGACTTTTATCTTTAATTTATTCTCTTACAAAGTATGCAGTGGATATTCACATAGATGGAAGCTTTGTTCTCTATTGTCGGGGATATGGAGGGTTCTATTTTTATTTACATTTAGGTGAAGCAAGAGAAAACCTGCTACAAATAGATATACAGGCAATTACATTGTTTTGTGTTGTAGTGTGAAACTATTATAGATGGTCTTTAAATTTTTTTGATTTTATTGATGCATTTTATGCAACAAATAGTCCCAATGAACAATTATTTTTAGAATAAATAAGGTAATATTTATATCGAAATAACTCCTCCTTGGGTTTGACAAGTTTTCACAATGTAATGCTAAGACGCCATTGCCAAAATTGATTTTTAACAGATTATATTACTTTTGTAAGCTCTCTTATTATCTGTTGAGATCAAACATGTAGCTGACAGTTGTGATAGAAAAGTTTGCCTCATGGGCATTGTTCTTGGCACATAGCATGCATTCATTTGCAGCAGTAGATGTATCACATAGCCTCTCTGTTCCAGAACTGTGCTTGGCTGGGACATGGAAAAGCCAATGTCCTGCTTTCATAGGAACTTCTGGTCTGGTGGACAGGAGAAACATTCAATGGCTTGTGGTAATAAATTTTACTTGCAGCTGTGCCTTATGGTGTATCCGTAGCTTATGTCTGAAAATAGCAATTCCACCTGTCTCTAGTTGCTACATTCCAGTCTGTGGTGTTTGGTGCTTTTATTGGCTGAAAAGACTGCAATAATATCACATCTGTAGTTTGTTTTATTAATTCTAAAATCATCCATACCTACAAAATCTCAAAAGGCAAATAGAAATTAATTTGAAATTTTGGGGGTTTTGTGAAATTTATGTTCGGTTAAGAGTTTTGAGTGGGAATAATGAATAAGGGGTAGGAACTTAAATTAAAAACCCTGATTATCAGTGAAAGAGGAAGGTAAACATCTCTTTAAAATACAAAATGCTAAAATAAAATTTGCTACAACAGTATACAGCCTGCACACTATAAAATTGTTTTGATTTTTCACATTTCACTGAATTACAGTAATTTGTAAACGACTGCAGAAAAAACATTTTTCCTCTCTCTGATAGTGTAACTTACTTGTCATTGTCAGTAAACATTTATCACATGCCTGCTGTGTGCTAGGCAGTGGGGTTATATCAGCAAGCAAAATAAAGCTCTTGTGAAGCTTCAATTTGCAATTATTTTTTTGGAGGGGGGACAAAATAAACAGTTAAATATTTACAATGTCAGGTGTTCATAAGTGCCAATGGAGAAAATAAAACAGGGTAGGAAATAGAGAACAACAGAGTATGTACGTGGAAGAGAGATGCTCCCTTCTATAGGGATGTTCAAGAAGGCATCTCTGATGAGGTGACATAAATGCTTTTGTTCATCTGGATCTCTCCTAGGCTCTCTCTGCCCCTTGCCAAAGTCACCTTATTTCTGCGTGCTTTGTTGATATAGCTCCTGAACTTCCTTCTCTGCCTGGATTCCCTGTCGTGTTATTACTCTTGGACCTATTGTTAGAGCTTGTTTCCACAAATCCTCTATTGTTGCCTAATATTTTTCACCTAATAACTTAATCTCAGGTATTTCAGGCTTTGGTGACTTACTTGGTGTCTAAACTAGCTCTTTGAGTTTCAAGTTAATTAATTGGGTTTATCATTAATAGCATACTGGCATCTCCAACGTTAGAACTGAGTTGTATTTACAAATACTTACCTTTCAGTCTTTTAGAACCAGCTCTTCAAAGTTAGAGTTTTGAAAAGAGGAAGACAAATTCTGATCTGAAATTTTTCTTTCCTATACTCAACCATCACTCAGTGTAGACATAGCCTTTTATGTATGGAATAATTTCCTATTTTCCTCTAACAAGATCTAATTGGCCTCAGACTCCTTAAGTCTCATTCTAATGTAGCCCAGCAGCAACCTCATGATGAGAGAATGTTCCAGAAGAAATAGCATCAACTTCTTGTAGAGTATTACATTATGTTGGCAGCAATGGCTTAAGTCTGATATTCTCATGTTTACTCCTTGACTTTGAGGCAAGAATGAGAAATACTATTTATGTTATTTATACTATAATATTGTGACTTTTAAGTCAGAAGTAGCTAGGGATATGAAGAAATGATAAAATATTTTTATCCTGAACAAAAAAAGCAATCTGGGGTTTTATTCTCTGATTGATTCAAAAGAGTAGAAAGCAGATATTCCTAGATAGTCAACATGCAGTATGATAGGTTAAAAAATCAATTTTAGAAAATTAAGCTGAATAAGTACCATTCTTTTTGTGTTTGGAATGAAATTGCCCCATGCTAGTAAAGAAATAACAAAGGAAACAAAAGCTTTTAAACATTGCTGTGATGGGGGAGAAATTCTATTTCTATTTATAACTTGTACAGAGTCCCACATAAAAATAGCTCCAACTAACAGATTTGCTCATATCTGGAGTACAAAGTTGTTGCTGCCAGTGATTTGAGGAATTCTAATAAGAGGAACGACAGCATTGGTAAATATTGAAAGTTTATCATCTTTTCTTTTACCCCAGTTTTCATATGTGGAGAAAATTACGGTTCGTAGAAAGTTCTAGATGCTGTATTTTATAGCTTGTTATTTTCTAGGCTCTTGTCTCTTCGGTTTTAATGAAAATGAAGTATTTTCACCCTTCAATTCCATGCCATGAGGTGGATGTATTATCGATAATTGTATCACACTCTGAAAATATTTGTCAGGCCAAAAGATTTAATATTTCCTTCTTATGAAGACTAATGTCGTGTGATTGGTGTGACAACAAAAATATTAAGAACCACGGAAGTTAATGAAAACCATTCTTTTTGTCTCATTTTCAGCGGAGCTTCTTGGGCCATGCCAGTTTTAAGGTGGGGGAACTACTGAAGTCAAAGGAGCAACTGCTGGCCCTGAGCCTGAGGTGGGTCTCTGTTTGCAGAAATACTGTTAAAGTTAATTACCCATGATACTTATCGATGGCCAGTTGTGCTTGAAAGTCACAATTCTTGCAGATGTTAGATGTCAGCTCTCAAATGTCTTATGTTCTCCACTGCAAGGAGTTATAGAGAAATAGCAATTATTCAAATTCACATTCAAGTTCATGTTTCAGGTTGTGAAAGGTTATTAGTCCTGGTAGGAAAAACAATATTACGTTATTATTAAAGTGATGAAATTCTTTGAAAGTAAGAAGGTAAACATAAACTATGATCATGTTATTAAGTATTTTTTGTTATTTATCAAATTGTTACTTTTTAAATCAAGTAAATTTCTAGATTTAGAATACATTAGAGACAACGTTGCAGCTTTCTGATAATAGAAAGCTGCATAATAAAAATTTTCTGATCGTAGTAAGCTGATTTTTTTTAGCTTATTTTGTTACTGCTATTAAACATAAAACATAAGTTAAAACAGACTCATTGAAACAGACAATATATCATAGCTAATTCTGAATATGGGTAGTGCAATTTGTTTTGATATAGAAGATGAGACAACAGTCTTTTGAAAGTTGCAGAGTATTTTAATACTAAGAAGAATATTAAATAAGATAAACATTTTTTAAAAATTCATAATAAATCTGGAAACAATAGTCTGATAATTGAGTGTACGTGGAGCATCCTGCCTTGCAATATTTGTATAATGTTGAATGAATATAAAGATACACATAGGACAGCGTTTGTCGATCTTCAGAAGCTCTTATTTTGGTGAGATGTAGAGACCACTTTCACGGAAGCTGACAGTGTCTCAAGTTTGTTTGTCCCTTTTCCCCTCAAGGACCCCCTTGCAGTCAACAATTTATTTTAGTAAAGATGCTGTGGTTTATGCTGAAATCCGTACTCCTGGCTTTCTCTTTTTCTCATTTTTCCTGATCCTTACAGATCTGCGTTTTGATTTCGTAGTATAATATAATTTAAAATAAGTAATACTTCAAGTAGGAAAGTAAGTGCTGGTGTGTTCTGGTGAGGCTGCCATCTTCTCTTTAGTTCCTTTAGGTTGTGTCTCTCGAACATCTGGTGGTAGTGGCGCATTTTGTTTGGGATAATATATACAAATCATTACAGTTTTGTGATGTGATTTTCAACAAAATTGTGTTGTTACTGTTTTCCGTTTGAAGTGTAAAAGGGCCAACTCAGAAGGCTAGCTGTTAATGTCACTGATACCCTTGAAAATATTATCTTCCTAGCATGGCCGTTGGATTCATGCTAGGAGAACTAACTTAGGACAACTAGCCATTCACATGTTTTCTAGATCAGATGCACAGCACTTTCTTTCTCATCCTGCTGACTCACAGCTACAGCACTGATCATGCTATAACCATCACTAGCATCAGCAGCATTACTACCCAACAGCATAGCATTTAGACACCAATTTGAAACAGAAATGGGGGAAACAGAGATTCTTAGTGAAATGAAAATTAGTGAACACAGAGAATACTCAGAGAGAGGTGAAGAACAAAAGGGTCAACTTTAGAGTACTACCCTTAGAAGAAAAAAGAAATATTTGACATAAATTCCAGATATAGTTGAAAGCAAGACAAATTTTCACTTTTGATTTTTAATACCCCTGACTCCTAGTCAATTGATTTTGATAGTATAAAAGGAAAACAAATTTAACAACAAAGAATTGAGTTTTCTAGAAAATAATTTAAGACAATCAATTTTGAAATGGCTAGGTTATTATTTTTCCCCTTTTTTGTGCTTTGCAAAATTTGCTGTCTATTCTCCCCAAGAACCAGACAGATTATAGATTTATCATAGCCCTCTGATTTCTGGTACATGATGTTTTCTATTTCTGATGTAATTTATCTTCTTTCCACTGACTCTGTCTCTGAGGTACTGAGTTGGAAGAACATTAGGTCAAGGGTAAGAAACATTTTTATGTTTGTTTTGTTTTTTAAATATTCCTTTGCTCTGATTATTTCTGACTTAACTTCCTTTTATATTCCAGTCACGATTTTTAAAATGATAGAATTCTCAGATTATTTAAAAAAAAATTCACAGAAATAGAGCATTTTTGCAGGCACCATTCTTTAATGGTAAAGTTCCTTTTCTTTATGGTGTGTTTCAGCTTCTCGAAATCTTAACAGTTCTGCTTGTGTTCACAGTCCCTTTGGGGGCTTCTATCAGATAATTCAGACTATAAAACTAATGTGGCTACTGTGTCACATGTAGATAAAGTGTATGGGAATTTTTTTTTTTCCCACAGAGCACTTCAAGGGGCAAGAAGTGTGTATTTAATTTGTAGGTTTAGACTCAAATTTCATGAAATATGATATTGTATACTTTTGAAATTGTAGAGTTATATTTTGTTTGCATATATTAGGAAAATGCCTCCAATATATAAAGTGGTTTCAACTCATATGAATCACCTTCATTCCAGTGCATGGTTTACTGTGTTTCTGAGTGATCTAGCATCCCAAACGGACTTGATATCTCTGTTTAGTATTAACCTCTTTGCCTTTATATTACATTTACTTTGTTCTGCTACTTTACCTTTGTTGGTTCTCTTTTGACTTCTTTTATGTCTCAATTATATTTTCTGTTTGGTCTGTAGTTCATTGCTTGTAGTCCTGACTTCTATACTATACACAGACAAGGTAGAGTTTTTGTATAGAGGATTATAATTTTAGGCATGAAAGACACTGGATAAGCTTACAATAGTGATAATAATGACAATGAGAAGGAGGAAGAGGAAGAGGAGAATACAACTTACTATGTGCTTGGCGCTCTGATGAGTATGTTAGAGGTGTTTCTTTGACCTTTACGACATTAGCATATGATGTTGTTGTAATTTTCTCCATTTCATTCATCAAGAAACTGAGGTATAGAAAGCAGTTAAGTAAATTACACAAAGATATAATGGGAAAGGAAAGGTATAAAGCCTCACATTTTCTGACTATAAAGCCCATGATTTTAATGACCTACTTCTTGTCTCCTTCAACAAAGGAGAAAATTGAGAAACATTTGAAATGTATGTCACATGCCACATGACTTACTAATGGCAGAGCAAAGCCAGGACTCGGGTCCAGTACTGCTTGTTCATGGTTTCTTCCATGTTTGATTTCACCTGGTCTTATAGTAGGTGATGAGTAAATCTGGAGAAATCTGGAATGCCAGAAAAGAAAGGGAAAAAAAAAAAAAAAAAAGGCAGAAAGCAGAAACAAGCCTGATAGTTTAAGGGGGATTAGAGACTGAAGGAAACCTGTGGAATCTCCTCTCACCCCAGAACCATGATATTCTCAAGACCTGGACCTGGTTTGCTGCCCAAGCACCTGACAATCATTTGCTCTACCAACCTGACCTGAATCTCTGGGAACTGTACAAGCAGAATGTTAGAACACCATATTACTGCTTTATGATTTAATAGTAGAATGAAAAAGTTAGATCTGCCTTTGGGAATGGTGCTAGCAGTCAGGGGGAAAATTATATTGCTCTTAAAGTATTCAAACCACCAGAGAGGAAAAACAACAGCAACAAAAAGGAAGGAAATCCTTCTCAGAGGGAGGGAGACAGATGGAAATGTTTAAACCTTATGGGACTTTGTTGTGTGCCTCTTCACAGTTTGGATTTCGTTCAGTGCTCATTTGTTCAACAATTTTTGAGAACTTTTCATATGCTAAGTACAGGGGTGTGTTCTTCAGAAAGTTTAAAAAATGGCAGCAAAGGTAATATTTTGCAGTCAATGCTACTTATGACATTATTTATTGAGCATCTGCTAGTATGCAAGGAATATGTTAGGTGCTTTTCATGCATTATTTTCCTTAATCCATGTGGTAATATCATCTCTGTTGTATAGCAACTTGTCTAAGATCCTACAGCTGGTGATTGTAGGATTAGAACTCAGTTTGGTCTGATTCCAGAGTCTGTTTGTTTTTATTTTTCTACCTTGTAGGAAGCTCAAGATCTAATAAAATCTTTATGTCCTTCTCTATTTTATATTGCATCCTTTGGAGAGTTTTAGGGGCCTCGATTATTTTTCTTAATGTTTTATTTTAAAATTTAATTTTATGTGCCTGCAACATATAGAGTTTCAATAATTAGTTTGTTGGGATTTTGATTCACTATTATGACTTCTTTGTGTTTTTAATGGATGCTAAATGTAAACCTAGTACCACAAATTTATTTCTGGATGGAATCCATCGAAATTAGTGAGTATAATGCAATCTAAGCTTGAGAGTGTATATGAAACAAGTAACTTTCAGAGAAATTGTTAGTAATAGGTTGCAATCTTCTTGAAAAGCTGAAAATCTTACTTAGAATTCCCACTTTCTAAGTATTTAAGTATAGGCCACTTTACCTAGAGTCTTTATCTTGTCACAGAAACTTTCAACTCATCTTAACGAGTGTTCTATTATTTCTTTTGTAACCCTTCCACATGTAACCTCCAAAGTTAAGCAAACATTTGTATAATTTTATCAGGATGGATGTGATAAAAAGTTTTATTGAATACAGATATGTAAGAATTTATTCATGCAAAGAGAATTTGTTTCCATTTATTACTTCTGCCACATTTACAGTAATGCTTTCATGGAACATACGAACATAAGACTCTGATGACCCAAAATGGACATATGGTATTATTTTTAATAATATACAACATGTATGGGAGAGGATATGAAAGGAAAAGCATTCAACTTCTGTTTGTTTTAAATTTTTTCCTATTTTATGTAGCATTTATATGGGCACATATGTATACATCCACATATATATCATCAATTGTGTGGATGGATATGTTTGTGCATCTAAATTTTTTTATGACTTTTGCTTTCTCATAGATCACAAATACTTATTTTTGATATTTGTCAAATATTTATGCTTAGAGAAGGTAAGATCAAAATTGTGAGGTTTTTAAGTTTTAATTTTTTGATGTTTGCTTAATTTAACCTCCTTAGACCCACAGAGTTCAATTTCATTGTTTCTAAAA